TATTACAATGTGAGTCAAGGTTAGGTTGACTTTGATGCAACATAAAAAGCTGATACTTCAGGCTGGTTTGTCAAATGTAGATGTTCTTATTTTATCAAGAGGAAAAAGTTACCTCATTCCACCTAAGTAAGTTTAATCGTTGTAGTTAATTTTGCGCGAATATTTTCATTTGAGGGGAAGGAAATGCAATTTGATATAGAGATACTATTCTTTCGTTTAGGGGGACACATACAGAGTCTTTGTAGATTCACACAAAAAATCCCGCACATAACGTTACTTGTTGAAGATTGAGCTTAGAGGTTTTACTTCTAATAAGTGGAGTATATATCTCTGTAAAAGGTTTCTCTTCCTGTTAGACTTCTAAATAGCAATGTGATAATTTATATGGAAGTGTGCTCCTCCTTTAAGTATTGTCTATGTCTTTTAAGTGCAAAGTGCAAGTTTATCCTTGCCCTTTCAAGTCCAAACTGTTCCTGCTTATTCTGTTAGGTATAATGTAGGTGGTATAGCACTTATTGTCAAAAGAAAAATAATATGCCAGTAGTTTAGTAACAGATGTAGTAGATATCTATTGAAAACTTGATGTAGTTTGATTGCATCATTATAGATATTGACTGAAATCCTAGAACTTGTTTACTTTTTTGCCAAATGTTTTGGTGCATAAACCATACAGCTTCCCAGTTGACATGAACGGATAGTTTCAATATATCACTTCACATACCATTTATTGGGGAGTGAGGGTCTAGATATTTATAAAATTACTTGCTTTAGTGCCCGTTTGGATTGACTTATTTTAGGTGCTTTTAAGCCAAAATAGTTTTTAAGCAGTTTTGAAGTGTTTGGGTAAAGTTAAAAAGTGCTTATAAGCACTTATTTTAAAGTCAAAATAACAAAAATAAGCCAAAAGCCATAATTTCGAAATCCTAACTTATGGCTTTTGGCTTATAAGTCATAAGCCAAAAGCTAATCCAAACAGGCCCTAAATCTTTTTCTTCTGTAATTGAGCTTAGTGACAAGTTCTATTTCTTGTATTTAAGGAGGTGATCTGCCACCTTTATTTTGATAGTTTTTTCTTCTTGAATAGCCGTCTTGTTACTTTGATGTTCTTATTATCTGACATCTGCAGAAATGCATATAACATGGTACTACACAAATTTGGGGAGAAGCTCTATTCAGGACTTGTGTCAACTATGACAGCACATTTGAAGGAAATTGCAAAACATATTGAATCTACTCAGGGAGGGCTGTTTCTTGAAGAACTGAATCGGATATGGGCAGAGCATAACAAGGCACTGCAAATGATTCGAGATATATTGATGTATATGGATAGAACTTTCATTCCCAGTACACATAAAACACCTGTTCATGAGCTTGGTTTGAATTTATGGAGAGACAACATCATCCACTCTAGCAAAATACACAAAAGGCTTCAGGACACACTTCTTGAACTAGTTCAGCATGAGAGGACCGGTGAAGTGATAAACAGGGGTTTGATGAGGAATGTAATACAAATGCTAATGGATTTAGGTTCTTCAGTATACCAAGAAGACTTTGAAAAGCCGTTTCTTGATGTCTCGGCTGATTTCTATCGGCTTGAGTCTCAGCAATACATTGAGTGCTGTGATTGTGGGGATTATCTGAAGAAAGCTGAGAAACGTCTTATCGAAGAGATTGAAAGAGTGTCCCACTATTTAGATACAAAAAGTGAACCCAAACTTACTAATGTCGTGGAGAAAGAGATGATTGAAAGCCATATGCACAGGCTGGTTCAAATGGAGAACTCGGGCTTAGTGAATATGATCGTAAATGACAAATACGAAGATTTAGGAAGGATGTACAACTTGTTCCGAAGAGTGTCAACTGGGCTCGCACTGATTAGAGATGTCATGACTTCTCATATTAGAGAAATTGGTAAGCAGCTTGTCACTGATCCAGAAAAGTTGAAGGATCCTGTAGACTTTGTGCAGAGGCTTTTGGATGAGAAGGATAAGCATGATAAGATCATTAGTTCAGCATTTAACAATGACAAAACACTCCAGAATGCTCTCAATTCCTCATTTGAGTTCTTCATTAATCTGAATCCACGATCACCTGAGTTCATCTCTTTGTTTGTGGATGACAAACTTCGGAAAGGGCTGAAAGGGGTTACTGAGGAGGATGTAGAGATCATATTAGACAAAGTGATGATGCTCTTCCGCTACCTTCAGGAGAAAGATGTGTTTGAGAAGTACTACAAGCAGCACTTGGCAAAGAGGCTACTCTCAGGGAAGACGGTATCTGATGACGCAGAGAGAAGTTTGATAGTTAAGCTTAAAACAGAATGCGGGTACCAGTTCACCTCAAAACTGGAAGGCATGTTTACTGATATGAAGACCTCACAGGATACAATGCAGGGTTTTCATGCTGCTGCGGGTGCTGATCTTGCAGAGGGTCCTTCACTTACTGTCCAGGTTCTTACTACTGGGTCCTGGCCAACACAATCTGTTAATACTTGCAATCTTCCTTCGGAAATCTTAGGGGTCTGTGATAGGTTCAAGACATACTACCTGGGGACCCATACGGGTAGGAGGTTGTCATGGCAGACAAATATGGGGACTGCTGATCTGAAAGCTACATTTGGAAAGGGACAGAAGCATGAGCTTAATGTTTCCACTTATCAGATGTGCATCCTTATGTTGTTTAACAAAGCGGATCGAATGAGTTACAAAGAAATTGAACAGGCTACAGAAATACCAGCTTCAGACTTAAAGAGGTGCTTACAATCTCTCGCTTGTGTCAAGGGGAAGAATGTTTTGAGGAAGGAGCCAATGAGCAAGGATATTGCTGAAGATGATGCCTTTTACTTCAATGATAAATTCTCGAGCAAGTTCTACAAGGTGAAGATAGGTACTGTTGTTGCACAAAAGGAGTCAGAGCCTGAGAAACAGGAGACTAGGCAGAGAGTGGAGGAGGACCGAAAACCACAGATTGAGGCAGCAATTGTCAGAATCATGAAATCTCGGAGGGTGCTAGATCACAACAATATAGTTGCCGAAGTAACAAAGCAGCTACAGTCTCGATTCCTGCCAAACCCTGTTGTCATAAAGAAACGAATTGAGTCTTTGATTGAGCGTGAATTCTTGGAGAGGGATAAAACCGATAGGAAGTTGTATCGTTATCTGGCTTGAAGAAGCCACAGGCACTGAACCTGTGATTTTTTCGGGATTTGTTGGGGCCTGGCTATGTAAGTTTGAATGTTTATCAAGTCACTTGGTGCCCAGGCGGGCTTTAATGACAGTTGTTTGTTGGTACAACGCATCCATTTTATTTTTAATTTTTCCTTCTCAACTAGATAAGCTTATAACTCTCAAAGAGAATAGAGGGTAACTTGAACTGGAAAATGGGTTCAATATTACTATGTTAAGTAGCCAACTGTAGAATGGTAATTCCAGACTTGTTTTGACAAACTTAAAGGTTCCACCAGAAATGATTTTAAATTTATTTATGGACTCGGACTGAGTGATTTGGATGTCCACAATTTTTAAACCCCTTATTGTGCAGCAATTTTTGTAATAATCATGTAGTTCTGGTGAAGGCCAATTAAGGGCGATGACGATATCCCATCATCGAAAGTAAACTTGGCATGGGCCTCAATCTCTCAATTTATGTAGCTGGCAAATTTTAATCTTTTAACGAACTATAACAATGTAGAAATGCGTTATTAAATCAGGAATCTATTGGAAACGGTCTTTCTATTTTTATGAGGTAGGGTGAAGTATGTGTATACTATATCCTTTACAGACTCCACTTATGAATATACATTAGGTATATTACTTTTGTGACAGAACTATAAGAATATGATAGAGATAGTGTTGAGTAGTGGAGAACATGTAAATAATCTTATCAAACTTCTTCTCTCGAAAGCAAAGAACATGAATAATATATTGAGGTATATATTAATATTAGAGAACACAATTATATGAAGATGTGGTTGATAAATTTAATACGATGTGAGAAAAGAACTATACGTGTAATGGAACTAGTGTACGCACGAGTAAAGTGTTTAGAAAAAAAATTTGATTTGGTGTATTTGGGATAACGCATTATGTTTTTCTTTGAAAAATTATTTTCGATGTAGGTTTTCTTTTTGTGTTTGATTGGATGTTCAGGTAATTAATTTAACTTATATATAAGGTGGAATCTGTGTAATTGTTTGCTGAAGTAAATAATCCAAAAGAAACATGACTTGTGCCTATTAGTGACGGAAATCAGTTTTCTTCATTTTTGATGCAATAATTTTACATAATCAAGTAATAGAAAATAATTTAATCAAGCATACCAAACACATTCGCGTAAAACAAATAAATCTTTGATTTTATGAGACTTTAGTAGTACTAGTTACGACGTAATAACATCAACAATATTTTGGCATTGGTCTTCACTATAAAACTCACTTATATATAAGTAATAAACGGTTGAAATTAGTAGTACCATTTTATGTATTGACGATTTAAAAAATATTCACTTTGTATAATTATCGGTGAATCTATTTAATTAATAGCACCTATTGATAATGTTAAATTACAAAGTAGTACTCCGTATTCACGTGAATAATTCTTCACAAAGAGCTCGATCGGTTCTTTCCCTGAAATCCTTCCTTCAACATGCAGTACGCAACCTACAAAGTTCCAAAATGTGGAAGGAAATGAAAAAGTTGTCTAATTTGCTAAAATTAGTAACAAAACGACACCCTAAAAAGGAATTAAAAGACCAAATTTCCGCAAGCGTTACTATATCTCCAACACGCTTTTCATGTTCCACCGAATCTTGTCACTTACAAACGCGGATCCAGAATTTAAATTTATTGGCTCAAACTTATTATTTATTGCAATTTTAATAAATTTTTACATATATTTTACATCAAAAAATACGAGAAAGCTATCCGTCCCCGCAACTAGTATAAATACTCTGCTCCATCTCCTCAACATAGACACAATTGAATTATAAAACAAATAAAAAAAATGAAGGGAGGTGCAGTTTTAGTGAGTTTGTTTATGTTGGTAGTGCAACTAGGAGAAGCGATAAATTGTGGTGAAGTTGGTGGAGCAGTAGCTCCTTGTGTGCCTTATTTGACACAAGGTGGAGATCCATCAGGTTCATGTTGTGATGGTGTGAAAAAAGTTGTACAACTAACGCCAACACAACAAGACAGGGAAGATGCTTGTGAATGTATGAAAGCTGCTGCAGCTCGTTACTCTAATCTTAAACCAGATGCTGCATCTAATCTCCCTTCACGCTGTGGTGTTACTACTGCTATACCAATAATCTCTCCTACTACTAACTGCAAAAGGTAATTAACTTATATACAATGACAGACAAATTAATTAGTTTCTCTCTTTACTTGGAATTATTTATTTATTTATTTATTTATTGCAGCGTTCCTTGAGATCATGGGTGGACAATAAATAGTATGGGAGGAAGCGTTTGCAAATGCAATATTAACCAACGAGTGCAAAATATATACTTCTAATTGTACTCCCAATTGTGAATTGTGTGTATGTATTAAATATTAACAATGTTATAAAAGTAAATATGTCTACCTAGCTAGCTCTTTTGTTCATCTCTCTAGTACTCTTATTATCATCATACATATTCATTCACAGAATATGATCTGCCCAATTCGTCCAAACTTGAGTAAATTAATAATTCACACATTTAATAACTCAAGTCATTTTAATCCGCTCAAATTGGACAAACTCATCCATTTGAGTACTAATTATTTTCCTTCGTCATCATCTAAAATTGCAAGTTCAATTATTTGGTATGTTATGTGTTGTTAAGTTCCATCTTATATATTCACACAATAAGGAAAAATTAATAATGTCATACTATATATATGTGGATCCACTATGTAGAGCTAACCACACTTATTAAATCCAAATTAATACAAGGGTAAATGAATATATTCATAAAATCAGAAGGCTCATACTATATACAAACAACAATAACATGTTCGGTGTAATTCCATAAGTGAGGCCTACTATAAAGGATAGAACGTTATGTACGAAAACATTACCCCCATACAGAAAGTGTATAAAAATATATATCCTGGAGTAACAAGCTGGAGACTGGAGTTCCTGCAGTGGCTCAAGCTCAATGCTCCCAGTCATTGCAGAAAACAAGAGAACAACCCATTAATTATATTATGAATCACTTAGCCTTCTATAAATCGCAATCCCTTCAACCTTAATGCAAAATACACTAACAGTTAAACAATCAGACAACTTATGAAATATTTATATACAAACAATCAGATCACTTATGAAATACTTATTTACAAACAACTTTCATGCAAACGCCAAAAAGGAAGTTAAATAATCTGTGTGGCGCCTCATGAGTCATGATAATGTTGCGGCAAACTTTTGGGTGGATGAATGTGAATAGAGGTTATAATCTTGGTGATGCTGTTCATGTTAACATCAACATATGTTTTTTTTTTTCTACAATTATTTGGTGTGTTATATCCTGTTATTTTCACGGATGAAACCATAAATTTAATAAACAATGGATGGGTCCTCTAGTAACTGTAATTTTGTATTATTATGTAACAAAATAGCAGTCATTATTAACTAAACCAAAATTTGATATAATTAAGTCTAAAATGTCTTGTTACTTGAAGATTGATGTTCGATGATGTAACCATAAGACAACGAATACTACACAAGGAATAGAATGATAATGTTTGCAGCGAATTATACAGTGATGAAAAATTAATTGCAACCACACATAAAATATGAAAAAACATATATTTTATTCATCAATATTTGTAAGTATAATAATTCTATTCCTTTCTTGAGTCTCTCTCACAATTTTCTCTTTACCTTGAGGGTCGTTAGAAACGTATTTCTCAAGTGGGATAATTTATTGGAGGTTGTATTTGATCGCTTAAAATTAACGTCGGGTTGATCTTGAGGAATGTCCCCTTTTAATTACTTCAAATTTGAGAAAGACAATTATTTGATATTTTGATCTTTTTTATCATGATTACTCAATTTGCGATATTCGAAATGCATTTTCAAGAAAATATATACATGTTCTTTTTATAGGCGTTAGCTAGCCTCTAAGGAACCCAAACGAACCTTAGAGGTTGAGGATGGATTGAACTCATGCTGTAGAGTTTCATTTTAAATCCATTAAAAATTCGATCTTTTTGCTCTAAAGATTCAGACATGGTGTCAAAATCACATATGTTGGTTCTATTTTTCTCCAACAAAAATGATCCTGTTAGTGCTGGCAGAGTAGGATTGATCTGTAATATGAAACTTCTAAATTAAGTACAATTATTCTATCTAAAAATAAATAATATATTAAACCAAATATCCTTAATTAAATCTTAACCTTACTATATATATTTATGTAATGTCTCACAACGAGAGCATTAGTTTATTCGTGAAAACTGTCTCTTAACTTTAGAAGCAAATTAAAATAATTTCTCCCCCCCAAGATTCCATCAATATATTTATGTCTAATATTATTTTTTCTTTTGGTGATGTTAATTGATTTGCCAACGATGTATAGTGACAAAGCCAATCAACTAGTCTTTGTGGGCTATCTCAATCTAGAGTAATGTACAAAATCTTTAAATCAAACAACATTATCACTTTCTAAAATTACAATCCAAAAAGACGTGTTAAGGTTGTGTTTTTTTCAGCCGACTCACACATCATAGTCATCCAGTATAATCTCATAAGGTGCATAGAGTCTCAAAATAGTAGAGTGTACACAGATCTTACCTCTATCTCAAAGGTAAGTTGTTTCCGATAAACATAATATTAATGATTAAACTCATTAAACTTAAATTCTCGCTAGGCTATGCCTTTTTGTTTATTTTACAAAGTACGTAAAACACTATCCCTACGTTCCTGGGCAATAATTACAATTTTACTACTACTCAATCCTCTAACACATCGTTTATAATAATGAAATTGACACAGGAAAAGAGTGTGGTTAGCTCAGGTTACAAGATGAACTTTGACTTATTCTTTTAATTGGAAGTTGAAATTAATTAACGAAACCAGAAACGTTAAAAGAGTTGGCCATTGAAGAACTTCAATTCCCCCATTAATTATTAATTATGGATTGCTTATTTCTTAATTATATGCTCTTCAGCCAGCAGACATGGGGTTAGCAATCTCATGCAAGGTTTCCACTTAACATTGTCTATATAAGGGTTATGTGCATTGATAAATGATTGCAACTATGGGAAAGCTTCAATTCATTTTCAATACTAATTGGAGTAATGAAGATCGATATGATGTAATTTAGCTTAAATATTTCCTTTTCAATGTAATTTTGAGTTTTAAAATTCTTTTGTTGTTGGATGACGCCTAGCTAATTAGCTAGTAAATATGTTTTTTTTCCAATAATAGAAATAATGATGAAAAGATTAGAGAAGCAGTCAACGATATAGTATATATCTAGTAGGTGAGCTGCTCATTGCTTAATGTTTGGTGAACTGCAATAAGTAGTATTTACCTTGGTATATATATAGTTTGCACATGCGCACCACTTAATTAGACACTGGTAATTAAATCTATATCATATGTGGTTAACCTAGTCTTGAAATATACTCAACCCTTGTACAAATTCCAACCTAAATCAATGCACTCATGACGTAAATTTCCAGATCCACCAATCTTCTCATTCAACTTTATTAATTTCCCATTTCTTTAAATAAAATACATTCTCAGACCATTTTTACTCGTACAGTTTAAAATAAAATTGAGAAATCCATTTTTACTTGTTCGTGTTTGATTTGAAACACCCCTAGCTCTAAAACTAATTGTTAAATGGGTAAGTTTAATATAATATCCTTTGAATATACTTAATTCAATGTTTCGAGAAATTATTGTAGGTAATAATAAGAGAAAATTAGGAACGAAGTGATAATTTATGTTTGGGTTTTTCAAATTGGACAAGTAAAAAATGAACATTTAATTTTAGTATAGTGGACAAGTAAAAGTGAACGGAGAAAATACTATTCATTTCCTAATGCATTTTTCAAAACAATGAATTTATTACTAGTATATTCAAAAGATGGTATAGTAAACTTATCATTTTTATTTACTTTTTACAAGGTATGTCATGTCAAACTTGAACAAGTAAAAATAGCCAGAAAATATATTTATTTGTATCATCTTTAACCTCTTCTACGTATAGAGCTTCAAAGTAATACAGATACTTCATGGTAAACCAAGTATTGGAGAATTCTAATTTTTATCTTCTGTAACATTATCTCACATATAGAACATGAATTCTATAATTCTATATATGTTTTAGCAACCAAGTTGGAATAAGAAGTAATTAGAATTCGACTGCATAAATGGATATTTTGAAAAGACAAATGCTACAAGACAAACACTTAAGACAACATTTTATGACGAGTATTGCCTTATCCAACTTTAGCCTTTTATCAGTCCTAACAACCAGGACCAGGTTAAATATACTTATATGTATCTAAGTGTTTTTACCATACCAAACAATTTAATTAAAGTGAGATTAAAATAAAACTTAACCATGATTAAATATATGACAAGTAAAAATGGACGGACGAGTAGTAGTATTTTCAAATTTTTTGTTTAATGAATCTCTAGCTATCGAAGATATTAAATGGGGAAGGGTCACGTGGTCGTAGGTGACAGAAAGAATAGAAGTTTTTTATATCAGAGAATAGAAACTACTATTTTTAGATCCAATGACCTAAAAAATAATAATTTAATCGGAGGATGTACACAAAACATTGGCAATGCATGATAAACAAAAAACTATTCAAACTCCCAACATATTATATATAATATTAGCATGCACTAATTTCATTAGAAGATTGACTTGTCATTTTGTTTAGATTTCCAGAACTCAGAAGAATATAAAGGATAGCCAACCATAAGCACATCATGGAAGGTGTGAAAACATATCTCCATACAAACTAACTTTGTAGTCTTTTCGAGATCATAAATTTGGTCTCTTGCTATCATTTTTAAGGGACAGTATTGCCTGTTAATTTGCTCTAAACTACAATCACAATCTAACCTTTGCCTTGAGACTTTTACTAGTGAAATTATGGATGACAAAAGTGATGTGGAAAAGCTTGATGAAGTGATGCTGCCTGGTTTTCGATTTCATCCGACTGATGAAGAGCTGGTTGGGTTCTACCTAAAGAGAAAGATTCAGCAGAGATCTCTTCCTATTGAGCTCATCAAGCAAGTCGATATATATAAATATGATCCATGGGACCTTCCAAGTAAGAAACTCTGCATTTCATACACTTTAGGTTCATTTTTCATTTCTAATTTCTTAGTAGCAACTAAATTGTTTTACTTTTCATGTTACTGATTATCTAACTTTTATGGATGTTAAATATAGTGAGCTAGCGTTTGTCCATCAGATTTTGAAAATTTTATCTTCATATATCTCTGTTTGGTCATGAAATTTGATTTGATTTTGAGCCTGGTTCATTCTTAACAATTATGAACCATAGTCTAATATTTCCTTGTCATACCAATTTTTGTCCAGAGCTAGCATCTACAGGGGAAAAAGAGTGGTACTTTTACTGTCCAAGGGACCGTAAGTACAGGAATAGTGCCCGTCCTAACCGTGTAACAGGAGCTGGTTTTTGGAAGGCTACTGGAACTGACAGGCCAATTTATTCATCTGATAGCACCAAATGCATTGGTCTTAAGAAGTCCCTAGTCTTCTACAGAGGCAGGGCTGCAAGAGGCATAAAAACTGACTGGATGATGCACGAATTTCGCCTTCCTACGACTAACAGTGAGTCAGGACCACCTAAGAAATTCTTGGATAAGAATTTTCCACCAAATGTAGGTTCACTATGTAATTTAATTAACCCCTTATTATCCATTGAAGACTTTGTATTATCTTAGTTTAAATCGATATATTCTTTTTGGTCCTTGCAGGATTCATGGGCCATCTGCAGAATATTCAAGAAAACCAACTCAATGGCAAATCGAGCTCTATCTTACGCATGGGTAAATCCGTTATCTGAAGTAGCATCTCCAGAGTTGTTCAATCAAAGTGCTAATACTCATTTCATCTCGGAGAATGTCTCTTCTATAACCGAAGCAGGATCAGTTCTCCACCTAGCCAATAATAGTGAGTTACTACAAGGAGTCTCAAATGTTCCTTCATATAAGGCCCTCAATACTATGGCTTCAAGACCATCTTATCTTTCAAGTCCTAGCACAGACATTTCCTATAACTTCATGTTTTCGTCTCCTGAGGTTTCAGGACAAAACAGCAGGTGTTTACTAGACGCGAATTCCATGTTTTTCAACGCATCCCCTGGCTTAATCACTGATATCAGCAAGACTTCCGAGTCCATTGACTTTGACGGTCCAAATCAACAACTGAACAGCTACGCAATTAGTTCATCACAAGAGATGCAAAGAAGTATAAGCATGGAAGATGATGAAGCAGGATTAAGGAGTAATCAAACTTCAACAAATGATAATACTGAATGGGAAAACATGAGATCAGTGGGATTTCCTTTTAGTTTGACAGCTAGTTTGGCTGATGAATGGAAGCCTAGTTTGTCATGGGATTCTCCTCCCTGTCCTAGTGAGATATCCACCAGTTTCTCAACAAACAAATGCTACAACTAGTTCTACATTCAAATAGAGAACCTCCTGGCTTTGTGTACATCTAGTTTTTTTCCTTTTCGGCATCCAGTAGCTAAGGTCGTCGACTCAATCAACTTCAGATACCGGATGCCTATGGAAAAAAAAGAGTCTAGCCATAGCACTAAAAAAACCAGCTATATTCTGTTAAAAAGTTATTGTACAGCTTTATGATTTTCACTGCTTTAGCTTGCTCGAATTTAAACGTAATATGTTTGGATAAAATTTCATGTTTTTTTCTTAGTATTTAAGTGCTATTAGGTATGTTTACCCTTTCTGAAGTTGGACTTTTTCTTTTTCCCCCAAAACCATTAATATCAGATTAGATGCTGTTTAAAGCCTAACACTAGTTGAGATAATGACTGTCTGTGTACTCTCTAAAACCTGAAATTGCTGGGAGCAAACTTGACCCGTTTTGTAACCCTAAAATGGCAGGGACTGAAATTGGATAAATAGCAAGTTAGATCAACTTCAAACTAGAATAAAATTGGATCAAACGGAAACCTGAACATAGACTTACCAAGATGAAAAACAAACTTTGTAGTGCTTTGTTAATTACCAGGGAGCGACACCATGTTTAAGGGCTGGCCTATAGAGATAAGCAATTACTTGAATTAGAGTCATACTTTTGTTTTGTTTTTTATAAATGAAAAGGTAAAAAAAATTAAATTAAATGTCAGAAGTGGGATTTGAACCCACGCCCTCTCACGAGGACCAGAACTTGAGTCTGGCGCCTTAGACCACTCGGCCACCCTGACATATATTCAATAATAAGCAACAAATTTATATCTACTAAATTAAAGATTCCCATTTTTGACATGCAACCTACCACGAAATTGCATTTTGTACTCTTTTACGATTTGACATTTAACCCATGTATGTTTTTCAGATTTAGGCTATGGCCTACTTGTCATGCAGTGTTCTTCATTACGAAACTTCTCTCCTTGATTTGGCAAGGGTGCCTTCTAACGTTTTAATCGTAGAAAAGAAAAGTAAAAAAAAACTTACCACTTGGATCTCCAAAAACTTAATTTGAACCAACTAATTCTGCCACTAGGTAAGTAGAACCAATCGTGAGTTTAAATGTACTATGGCACTTAACAGGAAGGTTTGAATGAACCAATCTGGACAGGCTACTTGAGAATATACAACTCATCAAAACATAATTTCAGCGTTTCTTTGGGTTTGGATCAACACAGTTACTCTTCTTTTATGTATGTATGGCTCTTGTATTTGCTTCAAATTTTACCAATTACTTTTCTGATACCCTCCTAAGTTATACCTTCTCCAACGTAATTTTACTATCAACTACTTCAAGGGAAACGTAAAAACAATCCTAAATTAAATCTTCCGCATCATCACATACTGAGGCTTGCAAGGACAACCAACCCTGCCTCCTTCACATTTCAAGGTAATACTAATTTTCTAATGACCACCACTCCTGTGCATCTCATCCAAAAAAGATAACATTCTGAATTGAGTATTAATCACAACAGTAAAGTAAACTCAAGTAATCATGCAATAAAGTATCACTTAACTGGGAAGAGGAAACAACCTCTTCCAGTCAGGTGGCAATAGTTCCAAAAAGGAGTTTGCAAAACCATACTAAAGCTTAAATTCTAATCGAATTCTAGTAATTGCATTTCAACAAGTTCTTTCACACATATTCATTGTCATCAAAGCTAAGTTATCTGAAAACATGATAGAATTGACAGAGACTTCAGGGTCTCTACACTCAGTTCTTTGAAGCTAGTTTTTCCTTTGCCTTCTGAATCTTCAACACCTTTTTCACAATTTTTTGTTCTTCAACCAAGAAAGCTCGGATGATTCTACATAGGTAAATCATGGATTAGATTAATATACATGTGTTGAGAAACTCCAGTTATATATATCATAAGCAAGTATGAAATTTTGCTGACAAAAAAAGCATACCTCTCCCTTACAGCACTTCCAGATAGCACACCTCCATAAGCGCGGTTCACAGTCCTGCGGTTTCTTGGCAATCTGGATCTCTTATATTCAGCAGGCCTCAAATGTGGAATCTAAACAAGATAGAGAAACACATCAATATATGGTTGTTGCTTGAAGGTCCTTTTTTCGACTCTGGGACAGAGAAGAAGGAATAAAACAAGTTAATATTTGGTGATTTTGAAGAATTCCCACTGTAGTAAAATTAAGACTGCTATAAGACGACAAACATGAGTTCACCTAATCATGGAGGGATACGGATATCTAATGGGTATTTTTGACCCCTTTACTAATGTCCTCACTTCCCCCACCAAACGTTCAGACTCCATCAACAATAATTTCCCTTCGGCTAGATTTGCTTGCTTAAAGATTGGAACTTTATTGTCTAGCATAGTACATGAGAATTCAAATTTAATATACTCAAGAAGGCTTCATACTATTTTTTGTTATGTGTAAATAGTACACATAAAAGAGTTTAAAACTACAATCTGACACAGGCTAGGATCAAAAATAATTTATTTCGGTATTTCCATACACTAAAAATGGAATAAAAGGGACATAGGCACCAGCAATAGTACATTCACTATAAATCTGGAAAATGAAACTCTAATATGACCACTTTTGTAAACCAATAGCTCAATAAGAGTCTTCACTGACTAAGGCTACATTCTTTTGTTTGCTGAATGCGAGGTCATGACTCTCTAGTTTATGGCCGCTTCTCTATGGTACCAGTTGTTGCTTCTATTTTAAATACATGCTTGAAGATGAGAAGAGGCTGGGGCAAGAAATGTTTGTCTATATACACTAAATAAGGTCTTGCATTCTCAGTAATTGGTAACTATGTCCTTTACAGAACCAAGGTGATTCTTAGCATGTTTATGGATAAATACCTAAAGATAATTTTAAAGCACTACTTAGTTTACGCAAGCTTTACTCTATCCATTAGCCAAGTTCTAAAGGGGAAAAGAGAAAACAACTAATTGCATAGCCATAAGCCTTTAGGATTGTTAGCCAACCCACTCAATTACTTCAGAACAATTCCAATTAATTATTTTCTTAGATAAAAAGTACATTTACTTGTCTTAGTATCACATCATTAAAAGGAATAATAATCTTCAAGCAGGAATCCTTCATTTTAGAATCGAGTCACAAATAAGAGAGAGGGCTAACACATAACCCAGGGATCGCATACTGAAAAGAACTAAATCATTAGAAGATTAAACAATAAGGGAACAGTGAAAAGTACCCCTTGGATTCTCTTCCCAGTAACTGGACATTTAGGGCCGCTGGCTCTCTTCTTGGTGGTCTGGTAAATTAGCTTTCCACCTAATTTACAAAAAGATGAACATAACGGTACATCAGTGATCACATAACTAAGTACTCTCAATACAATGTATATAACAAACAAATTCTATCAACGGGTGTACATATACACTACTAATCAAAACTAACTTCAGCTCGAACTGTCTATTAGGTCTTAACACTTTTACATATATGATTAGGATAAGTATGCACACTAATTTAAATTCAGGATCTGTCTTAGTACAAACAATAAGAACAATGTTGAGACAAATCCAAGTCAATGAAAACAGGGGAAAATTAGGTTACAGTATGGAGCAATTTACCCGGAGTTTTGACAATCCTGTGTTGATTGGATTTGGTGGCATAACTGTGCCGCTTTCGATACGTAAGTCTCTGAACCATTTTCTAGGTTAAGTTTCTCCGCTTCTCTTTAATGGAGACAAGAATGGACGAAGGGGTGAAGTCTTGTGAAGGAGATGCATATATATACTGGGGTATGTACTGTTGCAAACCCTAATTCCGAATGCCTCACTTTTTATTCCAAAAATGCCCATCCGAATTTCGAGTATATTACAAAAGCACCTCATATATGGGTAAATAAAATTTTGATCAAATCAAATCATTTTTACTTTTTCTAACTTTAAGAAATACTACTACTCAATAGAAATGTTAAATATTTTCATAGTTATTTATGCATAAATGTACTAGGAGGCTAGGAGCAACAATAAAAATAAATAATAAATAATATCTTATCATATAAAGATATTGTTTTATTTATGTGACCTTCATTTGTTAGAAATTTATATATTGTTTGTACGGGTGGACGTGGTATTGCATGGTATGGTACAATACGGTATTTAAAATTTTGGTATACAGTTTTTAAAATTATTATATCATTATTATACCAATTTAATTCAGTATGATTCGGTATTTTAAAGTTTGGTTTCGATATTATACGGTATGATAAATTGGTAACCATAGTTTGTTCAACTTCAATTAATATATACTCATATAATTAGAGTATTATGACTTCGATAATTCAAAAAATAACCTCAAATGTATCATACTAACACATTACACATTTAGAAGTATATATTCAAAAGAAAGTAAAAACAACTCATTTTGTTAATCAATTACACTTAAATACATTTCAATCAAAATAGAATAGTCAAGTTTTTACTTTTAAACATTTAGTTTATAATAATACTAGGTTGCATATTTGTTAGTATTATATATATATATATATATATATAATTCGGTATGATAGTGGATATGTTATTTCTAAATACCAAATACCGTATCGAATATCAAAATAATTTAAAATGTATACCAAATACCATAATAATAAAATCATGATATCAAAAATTTCAATATGATATGATAATTTGGTATATATCATACCATGCCTAACCCTGTTTGTTTGTTTCTTTTCGAACTTGTATAATATTTATATTGTTAAGTTTCAATTAGTACTTGCAATCTATATATTTGTTTACCTCGTTTGATACTCTATGCTTAAGTAATTTTACAAAAATTAAGATATAATACATAAATATATTTTTTGAGTTTATTAATTTATATTTATGCCCTTCAATTTTGGAGGTACATAGTGATAGACACTTAAATTTGTATTAAATTGTACAAAGAGGCACACACATCCTACGTGGCTTTATACACATAAAATATCAATTGACCACGTAAAACACCACATAAAGTGTCATATATATGTACAACTTTATACAATTTTAACTGTTTATTTGTGCACACTCAAAATTAAATGACATAAATACAAACTAAAGCTAAATTAAAAGACAGTTATTTATTATGTATTCACTTTCTTTGTCATGTTTAAGAATTTCTCAAAAATAGCATCTCCCATTTGAATCTTTACATTCTCATTAGTATTCAATTTGGTCCTTTGTTTACAAATTACTATATTATAGAAGAGTCTAGGAATGACTACCAATGTTCCAATAAGATCACTACTAATGTCCAATATATTTATAAAATATATCAGTGGGCCCCATCACCTTCCACTTAAATACTACATATTATATATTATTAATTACTATACTATAAATCACTACTAATATCCAATATATTTATCAAACTATATAAGTGGGCCCCACCACCTTCCACTTAAATACTACATATTATATATTAATTACTATACAATAAATGACTTAAATACTCCATATTATCTATTACAATAATTAACAATTATTTGACACTTTAAATTCTATTACAATAATTAATAAAAAAAATAGTCCACTCCAAAAAATCTATCAATTAACAACATATATTATTTGAAATTGACGAAAAAGAAACTATAAATTACAATAATTAACAAAATAAATCTCTCGACTCCAACAAATCTATCAATTAATGCTACATAAATTGGGACATGGCAAATAACATATATTATTAAAAAATTAGGTTCAAAATGTACTATAAAATACAATAATTAACAACTTAATATATTAAAGAGACATATAAAAAGGGTTAATATTTGAAATTCTGCATCTGCCACATAAATTAGAACAAACAGAGTAATAAATATTATTTTCAAAATTATGTTAAAAAAAAGTACTAAAAATCACAATAGCTAACAATTTAAAATATTTTTAAAATCATATAAAAATTTCAATAACTTCTCAAATTCCATAATATGACATAAATTAAAAAAAATGTGTTATAAATCATAATAAATAGTACAATATTTAAACTACTTTAAAAGCATTATAAATTGTAATAAATAATACAACAATTTAAATTACTTAAAATTTAACGACTTAATTTTATTTTTTTAAATGTATTAAAATTTTGGTTAATTGTCAAAACTTTACATGTGCCACATAAATTGGGACATGGAGAGTCACACATATTTTTTTAAAAAAAATTACATTAAAAGTATTATATCAATTAACAACATATATTGTTTGAAATTGACAATTTTTTTTTTTATAAATTACAATAATTAATAAAATAAATCTCTCGACTCCAACAAATCTATCAATTAATGCCACATAAATTGGGACATGGCAAATAACATATATTATTAAAAAATTAGGTTCAAAATGTACTATAAAATACAATAATTAACAACTTAATATATTAAAGAGACATATAAAAAATGGTTAATATTTGAAATTCTGCGTGTGCCACATAAATTAGAACAAACAGAGTAATAAATATTATTTTCAAAATTATGTTAAAAAAAAGTACTACAAATCACAATAGCTAACAATTTAAAATATTTTTTAAATCATATAAAAATTTCAATAACTTCTCAAATTCTATAATATAACACTTAAATACTACATATTATATATTAATTACTATACTATAAATGACTTGAATACTCCATATTATCTATTACAATAATTAACAATTATTTGACACTTTAAATTCTATCAATGTCATATAAATTAGGATAAAAAACCTAACATATAATATTTAAATATATTTAAAAATAATATAAGTAACACTATACATTACAATAATTAACAGCTTAATTATTTAAAACTTATATAAAAAATTTAATTAACTCTCTAAATTCTATTGGTACCACATAAAATGGATTATATGATAAACATATATTGTTTGAAATTGACGAAAAAGAAACAATAAATTACAATAATTAATAAAAAAAAAATAGTCGACGAAATTGACGAAAAACAAATTATAAATTACAATAATTAACAAAATAAATCTCTCGACTCCAACAAATCTATCAATTAATGCCACATAAATTGGGACATGGAAAATAACATATATTATTAAAAAATTAGGTTCAAAATGTACTATAAAATACAATAATTAACAACTTAATATATTAAAGAGACATATAAAAAAGGGCTAATATTTGAAATTCTGCATCTGCCACATAAATTAGAACAAATAGAGTAATTAATATTATTTTAAAAATTATGTTAAAAAAAAGTACTACAAATCACAATAGCTAACAATTTAAAATATTTTTAAAATCATATAAAAATTTCAATAACTTCTCAAATTCCATAATATAACATAAATTTAAAAAAAAAGTGTTATAAATCATAATAAATAGTACAATATTTCAACTACTTTAAAAGTATTATAAATTGTAATAAATAATACAACAATTTAAATTACTTAAAATTTAACGACTTAAAAATATATTTTTAAATGTATTAAAATTTTGGTTAATTGTCAAAACTTTACATGTGCCACATAAATTGGGACATGGAGAGTCACACATATTTTTTTTAAAAAATTACATTAAAAGTATTATATCAATTAACAACATATATTGTTTGAAATTGACAAATTTTTTTTTTATAAATTACAATAATTAATAAAATAAATCTCTCGACTCCAACAAATCTATCAATTAATGCCACATAAATTGGGACATGGCAAATAACATATATTATTAAAAAATTAGGTTCAAAATGTACTATAAAATACAATAATTAACAACTTAATATATTAAAGAGACATATAAAAAATGGTTAATATTTGAAATTCTGCGTGTGCCACATAAATTAGAACAAACAGAGTAATAAATATTATTTTCAAAATTATGTTAAAAAAAAGTACTACAAATCACAATAGCTAAAAATTTAAAATATTTTTAAAATCATATAAAAATTTCAATAACTTCTCAAATTCCATATATGACATAAATTAAAATAAAAAAATATATATATTGGGCCCGTGCTGGCACGGGGTCCTATATCTAGTACAAGTAGAAGGCCAAAATATTAGTTTCATTTACTAATAATTACTTCCTCCTTTCATTTTTACTTGTCACTTATTCGAAATAGATTTTTGTTTTTCCTTGTCACTTTTGACATATAAAAAAAAACATTATTTTTTTTCCATGTTTTACCCTCAACATTAAATACTTATTTTTCAAATAATTTTCTAAGACATCATTTAATAGGGAATAATTTGGTAAAATACCTATATTATTTATCATTTTCTTAATGGGTGTGTCAAGTCAAATTGTGACAAGTAAAAGTGAACGAAGAGAATAGAGACTAACTAAAGAACAATTATTATTTTTAACATAATACGAATGGATTAAGTTTCCATTAATTTTTTAATACATATCATATACTAATTGAATATAGAAAATTAACACTAAAAAAATTATATCTCAGACATCGCTAAAGTTAATTTCTGAAAGTAATTTGTTCCATACATGTTTAAAATTTCACCATACTATAATGTTAATATGATTTTTTTTTTAATATCATCATCATATCATTCACGTTTTGTTGACTCAATTATTTTTCTAAATAAATTTAAGCTCCTTTCACATATGTTTGACTAGGGATGTACAAGTCAAACTGTAAAGTTAAACCAAACCGACGAATCAAATCAAATCGGAAAAAAAAACGACTTGTGGTTTGGTTTGGTTGATTTGGCGGTTCAAAAAAAAAAATCGGCCACTCTTGATTTGGTTTGGTATTAAATGAAAAAAAGTCAAACTGAATCCAAACCAAACCGACATAATATATATATATATATATATATAATTTTATTTTATTTATAGATAAAAAATATTATTTATAATCTACTTTTTAAATATATTTTTAGTTAGTTTATAGTTTTCAGTGTTTATATATTTTATTTCAAATTTGGGCGTGTAAAATTTTGTAAATATTATATATATAATTTTATTTTATTTATAGATAAAAGAATATTACTTATAATCTACTTTGTTAATATATTTTTAGTTAGTTTATAGTTTTCAATGTTTATATATTTTATTTCAAATTTGGGCTTGCAAAATTTGTAAATATTTTATTTTGTATTAAGATCCGAAGTTACAATTATATTGTTATAGTTTTTCAAATTCGAAGTTAACAATTTGCTTTGTAAATATTTCATTTTGTATTCAGTTTGATTGTATCCTTTAATCTTATTAATTTAATATAATGAACGTTGACATTTCAAAAAAAAATATTTTGTACTCATGTGAATTTTACCGTCTTTTCTAAAATTTCTATTCATTTAACATTTCTCAAGTTTAACTTATCACACAGGTAGGTGAAAATATATTTGATCTCTTTTTCAAACACCGTTAAGTTGTAAAAAACCAAAAGAACTGACTAAAAACGAAACCGAAAAAACCGGCTTTGCGTGGTTTGATTTGATATTTAGATTTAATAAACCGACATAATTAGTTTAGATTTTTTTAATGAAAAATCAAACCAAACCGACCTATGTTTGACAATGCCTTGACATGAGAGGGTAAGTTGGTCAATTTAACCTAGAAATGTTGGGTTGATTTAATAGAATCGGGTCGGGGCACGCTATAGAGGGTAAAACTAAAGTTGAATCAAGGATATGTAAAATCAAATTAAGGATTATAGCTTTCTTCCAGAATAATACGCAGATTGTGATTCAACATGGTGAGTGGAGAAAACTCAGAAATACAGAGTTCCGATAAAATTGTTTTGGAGTTGATGGATTCGATGGACAGCTATCTACTTTTTATGAATTCTCTGTCATCATCACTTCGCGAGGTTTCAACTTCTTTCTTTATCCCTCTTTTCTGATTTCGCTCAAAAACATCTGAATATTACATTAGATAGTTACTGATTCCGCTGTAATCCTCACTATCCCTGATTTAACTTTGAGTAGCATCTTCTCCTAGTCATTAACAGAGGTGGATCCAGAATGTAGTTTAACTTGTAATGATGCATATGTAAATATAATGCTTATTCAAGTGGATGAAAATTTGAGTTTGATTGAGATGATTGCTAGGGGATGATATTCGAATCCGCGCAAGTACCGTCTATTGATCCGACAAGTTGTTATAGTATTGACCTTGAATTTGGCTTACATGGCAGGGATGGCTGGAGCTGGCGAGTGCTAGGCATTCCATGGGCGCTTCACGTATCAGCAGTGCACTGTTTGATCTCAAATCTCATTCTGCTGCCACTACATTGCAATTAAACCATCAGGATGGTAAATCCATACTCTTTGCAGCATTTCAGCCTTTGGGTTGATAGCAGCAACATACCCTGTGTAATCCTACGGTGGGGTTTGGGGAGGGTAGTGTGCCTTTTACTAGACGGCACACAATATTGCCTGTGATTCATGGAGTTCCTTTTCTGTTAGAAAATGCTTAATCTGTAGGACTCGTGGGAGTTCTAATGCGGTTATGTAACCATCCATTACCCAAATTATAATGATGGAATTTTCTATCTAGGGGATCATTTATAAGACGATGCCCGATTTATCTTTTTCCTCATTTACATGTTTAGGACCAGCGTTTCTTCCATTCTCCATGTAATTGATTATATGAATAAAGTGGGCTCATGGACTTGCATTTGATTATATTTTTTATCCTAGATTTTCTTTATAAGTCTAGCTGTGATGTATACTGATTTTGTTATGCAGCTGGGCCTAAATCGGAGGAATCACATTTCAGTTTGTGCAAGTGGGCATCATCTGAGAGTCCAAAAAGCTGTTCTGAGGAAGCAAAATTTGAGGAGGATAAGCTGTTACAGAAGAAATCCAATAGCCCAAAGGTTCTGAATCAGGATGGTTCATCAAATTCTGGTACAGATGCATGTTCCTGGCTCTTTTAACACTTACACCGTTTCTTAAAAAGCAGTTTTAAGAAGAATAAGATACTAGGCTGCTAATATAATGTAAGACACCTTGTTTCAAATATGATAATAGACCTGAATTTTCAGCTACACTTACTGAGGTAGAAGCAAGGAAATATTTCTCTCTCAACTTCTGTAGTTTCAGACTGCATGACAATATCTATAACCTTTTTCCTTCAGCACTTGATGTTTGTTAGTGCCATGTAAGTCCAGCTTAAGGAATGCTTCTTCTACACTTAAAGTAAAAAATAGTATAAGATATGTATTCAAATAAGTAAATAAAGGATGCATCAAAAAATCCTTTACCTGAATTGAGCTTCTCTGATAAATAATTTTTTTTTCTTTTACTTTTGCAGAAGTTCAGGAAGAAGTGTCAGAAGCACCGGAAGCTACCGAATCACCATGCACGGTGGAGGATCAAGTAAGTGACCTCGCCAATTTATATTCTCACAACAACTTCTAATCAAGCAGTGTTTTCCAGGTGGTATGATTTTATAAAGCGATGCTCGCCTCTGGCACCTATACATGCATTATTAAATTAATTTCCCCAGCCATGCAGTACATCCCCTTAATATATATATATATATATATATATATATATATATAGAGAGAGAGAGAGAGAGAGAAAGAATGCATGAAGAGTTATGAAATAGCCTTTGAGTACTTTATTCAGGCTGTGACAACATATATAAATGCTTCATGGCCAATAAATTCATTTATAATTTGACAATTCTGTTCAGAATCATTGAATCACCTTGCACTTCAGCTTTGCTACCAAATGTTCTTTATGATGTGATTAGAAGTGAACATAGATCAAGGTTAACCAAATGGTTTTTAACTTTAATCTTGTTTTCAACTTACTTATCTCCTCAGTTATATGATCCCTTCTCATCCAAGTTTTCTTACAATTTTGCTCTGTGAACTGATTAACTGAAGTGAAGAAATAATCTCTCTCTGTGTCTTCTTCTTCCTTTACATCATTGATGTGACACCGTCTCAACAAACTATTTCTCTTTTACATTGCATGTTATCTGTCATCATTTCAAAGCACCCTTCACCAACTTTAATGAAAGAGTCCATCAAATTCCCCGTGTTTTTATCTCCATGCTATTTTCCAAAATTGGATAGGTGGAGTGCAAATCTGCAATGTTTAAACTTTACCTCTCTTTTTATTAATTTGGCAGGGTTAGACTGGAATTAAATTGAGTGCTATTCTGTACATTAAATTTAATGGTACTGTTATTTCTTTTCTAGGCTCGAAAAGAGCGACTCAAGTCATTATCCATGTTTGGAGTGCTGGTCTGTCCAAAGCTTCGAGCTGCCCAATCGTCATTTGAGACAGGTAAATTACTTTCATCCCTCCAGCAACGATCAAAGTATCTTTTCACATTGGTATACTAGAAATAAAAGTGGCTCGGAGTAACAAAGAATCCCTGGTAAAATTAAACTCCGAGAACTAAAAGTGCCAAAACTATACCGTACTACTCTAGGATTGGTGTGTCTAGCCATCTATAGAACCTGCGAAAATCTGGCATCAATTCTGTGTATCTATTTTTGCAATCTTTCTGTGCCTCATCCTGATAGAATTGGTGGCTTCATCTTTTGCAGCTCTTGAAACTCTAGTGGAAGTAGCAAATAAACGGGCAGACCTCCTTAATGCTTATGATCAAATGCGAGAAAAGAAGGAGAGCACCACCAAATGACCAAAGGTTACACTCTCTCGCTTTCTCTGGTTCCTGAATCCCTGGGTGTTCGTTATTTTCTCCTTAGGGTTAGAAAAATAATGTGTAATAAGTAAGTTTCAAAAAAATAAAAATAATGTATAATAAGCAATGTCAAGTTCAAGATAACATGTTAATGAACTTTTAAGTAATAATATTTTCAGCATAACTTGTTCTCTTGTGTGCCTTTATCAGAAGCCAAGCCCTGTGTTTGGAGATCTCGCCTCCTTCTGACCTTTCCCAAGGGGAAATAAATCAAATAAATGCAAATACAGCCCTGCCTAAAGAGGAATACAAATGGAGAAAAGAAAAGAAGAGGAACAGACTCGAAGGTCCGGAGATGGTGGCATTGGTATAAACAGACTAACAGAGAGATGATGGCTTTATTTGAACTGATCTATCTTTTGTATTTCTGCTTATCTGTAAGACTCTCCGGTGCAAGTTCTTGCACATTTCATATGGTTTTTTCCACAGGGAAGGTATTTAATTTGTGCAACTAACTCAAAACTTATGAGCTAGTATTTTTTGGGGGTGTGGGTTCCAATAGCCAATTAAGTGAACCAAGTTTTACGTATTATGTTGAACAGTGATATGTAGAAAGAATTTTAGTAGTGACAGAATGTTCAATGATTTCAATTTGAGATATCATCTAAGCAACATACTTGCTGTATTGTTTAAGATGTAAAGGTTTCATACCAGCAACTACTGAATCTTATATGCTGCTTCATGATCTTATGACAATCCACTTGCAGTTGCAACTCGGAAGTTTTGTTAAGAAGTTGGACGTAGAGAAAGAAATGAACAAGCTCTCAGCAGGGACGTCATATCTAAAACGTAAGACACTTGAAAACTGGGCGATTTTGTTTGTTTTGGAAGTAGCACATGCCCGTTTTCTTCTCAGTGCATGTTCGATTGCAGTTTACCCAAAGTTTGTGTATATAAATTACCCATACCATACCTATAATCGCTGGACATCTTTACTTTAATTACGTGAGAACCCCTCATAACTAATGGTACTACTTCTAGTTACACGAAGTATCTATTGGCATCTGAAATTCTAGGAATTGGTTGATTTACTGTCAGAAATCCAATTCAGTCCTTAAATAGAAGGAATTTATGTGTATGCGGAGTTCTTTCCCTTTCTTTACTTTTTCACCTTTAAATTGCAGAAAGTGATACAGTTAGTTCAATCCATCCACGTTCCTTCGTGCAAGAAACAGACTTTCCCAACATGTCACTTCATGTTCATCAGAAGTTACCTTAAGAGGAGTTCCCAAGTCAATCTTTGGAGTTGGGGAAACTTCCTATAATAAAAGATAAATAGACAAGCCACCTCCTTTTACGGCCAAAAGATATGTAATACTACCTACGTCTACGTTTCCACTCGTTCATATTTACTTGTCAATGACTAACAATCTAGGAGTAAATAAAATGACAACAATACGAAAGGAAACTTGTTGGCTTGATTTGATACTAAAAACAATGACTAGTATTAACAAGGGAAGAGCAAAAAAGAGGGCTCTACATGTATTTTCCTATGTACAAAACTAATCCTGCTTAATTTATTGTGACACCACACTAGTTGATCTTTGGTTAGCCTTGACATGTTGAGGACCCTAGCCACTAATTTCACATCTACTTGAGAGAAAAAATAGAGTACATGATCTGAATCCTCTTCTCTGTTCTTCCTGAACTTCCTCAATATGCAATTTCCACTTCTCAAAACTTCCTGCAGCTTCTTCTCCTTCTGCATTCCGTAAAAAAACGTTCAGGCAATCATGTCATTGTAGATTCTAGATATCGAAAACAGATATTGTTGAGACATAACATAATTAAGTAAATAAAAATGTGCTTTGTCCAACAACTTAAACTTTAGATTATATAGTCACAAAGTTCAATAGATATAGCTGCTACAAAAAGAAACTAACCTTTTCAAGATTTTTTTTTATCTCCAGTAAAAGCTCCATGTCCTCTTGTTCTTGAACCTCTGGATGAATTCCCTTTTGACCTTTCGTCATCACGCTATAACAATCTTTATCAGCTTTGACAAAGCGCCAAAATATTCGTATAGATTCTTCCAGTATCTCCACTAGCATGTCACTTGTAATTGAAAAAACAGCTTTCTCTTTTGTTCTTGCCTTGTTTCTGTCCTTCACTCTGTCATCTGTACGTCACTTTTGAGTTTAAATACACTAGATTTTACCTCTACGACAATCAGCAAAAAAAGTCAAAAATGTACTAACCTCTAATAACAGGAACTTGAAGAAGATTACGAAGATCATATCGACTCTTGATAAAATATTGAACTCTAGGCCCTTGAAAAGGTTCATTTTCGATAAATCTTTGCATGAGCACCTGAAACTGTTGAAACTCTCCAGCTACTTCATTATATTTTCGGATCCCACGTGGGTCAGAATCCCACAAATTTAAAGCCTTCATATATTGCCAGTGCAAAAATTCCCAAGAAAGGCACATCTGGCCAACGTATACCACTTCCAAATCACTCTGCATTTCTTTGATAAACCTTACCATTGGGTCAATATCATGACTTTTATGTTTGAATAGCCTAATATTTTGTGAGAGAAGGGATTTTAGTGTTGGACCTGAAGATTTCTGGTTGAACAGTAATTGCAGTGGATCTTTTAGCGGATCTTTCTGCAGATAACCTATAAAACATGTGAGATTAGAGCAGCTGAATATCAAAAAAGGATTTAATAATTAGAAAGTATTTCGCGAGACAAGTAGGTGGAACATTTAGGGAAGAGAACTATGATCCGCTACGTAATCAGTCAATCCTACAAGATTATCTTAAGCAAATTGTCTGTTGTTGGCCAACAAACTTATAGGTATGCATTATGAAAGTTTAAAAAGTTCAACTTTCCAGATATGATCTTACACAAAAGGTCAGTATACACATTATTCTATTCTTTTACTTGTGTCATGTGTGTTCTGTTTAGACAGCTACATAAGAAAGAAACAAGAACATACTTCTAGCAAGTACAGTATTACTATATAATACGGACATCTTGTCGTGTAATCTTCCTCTTGTTCATATGAATAAACATTAAAAACAACATTTTGACTTATTCAAATGGAAACAAACGTGTAACGTGTATTGAGTGTTATCATTATCTAACCTTTTCTTTTTTCATATGGACGACAACATAAAATAAGAGAAAAGGTTGTTAACCTTTTCACTGGGGCCTATTCTGTTACTTACATCATGGATCCAATGCATTGAATTTCATGTTATTATGAGTTTCAGGATCCCAAGCTAACAAGATCTTGTGGGTCCTGAATAATTAAAGGTTAGCCACTTTATTGTCTTTTAACTTAATTTCTAATTATGATGATAACCATGGACACTAATCTTGGAGCTCCTACTATTGAAAAAGACTCCAACGTTTATACGTTGACAGTTGATGAAAAAAATTTACGTAGTTTAGAGTTGTCAACTGACCTATTGCATACATCTTCTGATATGTCAAGATGTCGAATTTTCTCATTTTCTCTCTGTAACTCTTGTAGAATTTGTGAAGTTCGCTCATAGAATCTTCACGATGAAGCATTTCATCAATCTTCCATGGTTGTAATTCGTCCATTGTTGGAGACTCAGACTCTTCCAAAATAGTAGGCAGACCCGTGGCTCTGACTTTTCTAATTTCCATCTTTAATTGTTCAATCAACTCTTGATGTTCCCACAGGGATTCTAATTTGTTTGCATCCCCAGAAGTGTCAACAATAGCTGTGTTTATTGACTTGGGATTTTCAGACTCTTGTGGACCATTTATTAACTTGTCATCTTCTGTAACAAATTCTAAAGTATTAACCATGCCCAAATCTTCATGAATATCATTCTGGGATAAAAATTCTGAGTCATTTTGCTGGTCTTCTTGTTCTAATTCCCTCAACTCTTCCATTATATCACTATCACTGTCCTCAAAATCCTCAGATTCATGATTTTCTTCAGACAAATCAGGATTTTTTAAGTCTGAATCAATATCATTTAAAGGATCAAGCTCAAATTCACCACCAAAATCTTCATCGGACAAGAAGCCATCACTGTAGGAATTTACTAACCTGCTCATAAGCGAACGCATATGCTCAAAACCAACTGATACAGTATCTGAATCAGTACCTGAAGAATCTTTCTCTGATTGAAACAAAAATTCATCAGGGAAATCTGAATCACCCAAAAATTGTTTGCACACAGAATCTGATTCTCCCTTGAGGAATTCCATTCCTTCAATTTCCTTTTGATAACCGTGGTGTTCAGGTGCGCCTGTGTGCTCCTCTTCCTCCTGAATGCCTTCCATTTTATGATGTGGTACTTCTTTCCTGTCTTCTTCATCCAAATCAAACACATCTTTCATATTACAACCAATTTCTTCAGCATTCAGGTTCACAATCTCAGGTTCTTGAATTAAACTGCTAAAACTCTTTTCTGGTACAAAATCAGACGCGATAAGTTCACCAGTTTCTGTCTTGTCTTTACTAAATTCCTCATAGGTTGGGAATTTAAACTTAAAACAAAACTCAGTTTTCTCCTTATCGTCATTCTTGTCCGAATCAACTTTCTCAAAATCTTCAAACTTTGGTTCTAATTCTTGCTCGACCTTCACATTGTCGAATTGTTTTTCTTCAGGCAGTACTTCAAAAAATTCCGAATTGTCGTTTAAAGTAGCGTGACCCCTTCTTAATCTACAAAGTGAAAATTAGACAAAAATTAGTGATGATATAATCACAAACAACATAAAAATTACTGAAAAGAATGAAATTTGATACCTGAGGAACAATGTAGGGATGAAAGTGAACAGAGGAACCAAATAGAAGAAAACAGAGATGAATAGGATAGCAAGAAACAAGAACAGATTTTGAAAGAATAAGCGATAATAGAAATCCATATTCAGAGAAACCAAGAGGGTTGGGAGAAAGAAAGAGTTTCTGAATCTGCCATGGATTTTAACACCCAGTGGTGAAAAATTCAGTTTGAAGGAAAGAAAGAGAGGAAATCTGAAGGAAAACTCATGCCAATTTTGAATTTTGCAGAGCAAGAAATCGACACAGCACCTGTAAACAAATACAAAGGTTGAATTTTTTTAGTGTGGGTCGAGAAATTGAAACATGACCTAACTGGAGAATTTCACAGATTTATGAGAGCTACCAGTCACCATCTTGGCCTAATTCTGGTTTATTAATTAAAAAAAAAAAGTAGAGAGAGAAGAATTGAGTTTGTTATATAAAAATTCGTCTACAGAATCGGAAATTATCAGTTGGACAAGTCCTGTTCTTCCTGCTTATTCTTTGCAGACGAAAATATTGGAGAGTGGGCGTGGGGTTTGGGGGTAAATAAACAAATATATATATAGGGGTAAATTGGGGTTAAAACGGAATTTACATTTCTTTCTTTTATGAAGTTGCAGTCGGCTGCAAATTTCATTTATTTTATTCAATAGAAAAATGTTGTTAAAAAGTATGCAAATTATTTTAATTTTATTATGGGTTGTACTTTGAGAATATTTGTGTTAATAGCTCAGTTGAATTAACTTATTTTAAGTGTTTTTTGGTTAAAATAGTTTTTAAATATGTGGCAAAATAATACTATTACTTTTCCTAAAAAAGCTTCAAGTAAGTGGCAATTTATTAAGTAATACTCCTCTGTTCCTAATTACTTATTCACTTTTGAATTGACACACTTATTAAGAAAACAATTATTGATATAGTGAATTTACCATTTTACCCCTATTAATTATGAAGTAGAGGCATTAAAAATTTAAGATTTTCAAGAAGTCTACCTTTTTCAAAATAATTAATTGAGGGTATAATAGGTAAAAAAAATTGTCTTTTGTTGATTTGTCAAAATGGACAAGTAATTAGGGGCATCTAAAAAAAGAAAAGTGGACAAGTAATTAGGGAAGGGAGTAGTAAATACATAATCGATCCCAATATAATACTACCTTTTCCTTAAATGAAGTTTGATATTTAAGGACAATAGTGGAAAGTATGGTTAAATTATGTCCTTTTTTTTTCTTAATAAGTTTGCATTAAATTTGGTATTCTTTACAAATTTTTAATTACTTAGAAAAGGAAAAAATAACTACATACGTATTGGCTTTTGGTCATTTTAAAACATTTCTAAATTAAAAACCATGTGTATGGAAGTTAAAAAAAATAATATGAAAATTAGTCAATTTCCCATGTATTGGAAAGCTTTCTCTTTTATTGAAACATAATTAATAAATAAATTAAAAAAATATAAATTTGACAAAGAAAGATATAATTATCAAAAAGAAAATCAATTTATAGTGTGAATATGTATTTGGGTCATTATAGTCAAATTATGGCCAAAATGATGTTTCCATAAATAAAAAAAGTACATAATTTAAGGCGAATTACATGAATAGGCTTATTCTATTTAAGTTCAATTCATTTCATTACATAAAAGGTGTAAAATTCAACCATCATCTTCCTAAGTACGTCTTGTGTTTGCACGTGCAATACGTACGTGCATTATTTAAGTTCTAGTTTTTACATATGCAATGGACTTTGTCAAATTATTTTTGTGATGTCCCAATTGAACCAAAAAAAGTAAACTGAATGGACATATTTTGGAATTGAGCAATAAGCGTGTCTGCTGGTGTAATTGTGCTATAAAGGAAATTTCTCTGCTTTTGCTTACGCGTTGATTATAATGGTAAAACTAACGGTACTAAATTATGAATGAAATTTAATTTTCTTAGGTGGCTTTGGCATCCGCGTAATCTAATAATAATTACACAAAATAAATGAGTTATCTATCCCCTACCAATAAATGAATAATCAATCCCTTACTAATAACCAAAAAAATAAATACCAATAAATTTTGTTACCTACTTGACTACTTAACAATCTATCAATGCATCATAGCTAAATTGACCAAGCTCATAAATTTGAAAAGATTGCTTCTTCGATTTCAATTCCTGTGAAATATTATATACGTCCTGTTTTAATTCAGTTGGATCGACAAATTTTACGAATTAAATTGAATATAAATAACCTATAAATTGCAATTCTAATGCAAATGGGGGAAACAATAAGAATTTGAAATACTAGTTAAATTAAACATTTTAGTATGAGAGAAAAGTGCGAAAAGGGGTAAATCTTTGTAGTCATAGTTCTTTAATGACTTCTTTTTTCTGGAAATATTTTTTGAACTTATTCGTGAGTTCATAAAATGTGACATATTAACTATATGTCGGCTTAATTTTATGATGCTTTTGACTATAAGGTTGACGAGAAAACATAGTGCTTGGGAACCACATTCTCATGGAACAAATATGTGGAAATTATCAACATAGTGATACAAATTGCTACTCCTTCTCTCTCTAATTACTTGTCTATTGTTTTTTTTGGAAAGTGCTAAATGGCCAAAAAATTTTAAAAACTATAATATTTTTTTTATTTTAAAACAAACTGATCTTTTTTTCCATTTTTTAGTTTAAATGTATTTAAGTTAAAAGGGTAGAAATATTTAAAAAGTTAAAATAACATAGAAAAACTATCATTCTGGCCAAATTCTGGCCAAATTTTCTGGCCAAAAAGATTTTTCCTTTTCCTTTTATAGTTGTCCCTAATTACTTGTCCATTTTGACAAATCAAGAAAGGACAAAATAATTCTACCTATTATACCCTCACTTAATTTAAAAGTGAACAAGTAATTAGGAACAAAGGGAGTATGTCGTTATATTGCTACTCCACGCGATCATAATAATAGAGTAATAAATATGCATATTAAAGAAATCAAACTTATTTTTCAGTTTATTATATTAAAAAGAAAAATCTTTTTGGTTAGAAAATTTCGCCAGAATGATATTTATCTATGTTATTTTTATCTTTTTAAATATTTTTACCCTTTTAATTTTAATTCATTTTAATTAAAAAATAGGAAAAAAGATCAATTTATTTTAAAATAAAAAAATATTATAGTTTTTAAATTTTCTGGCCAAATTTTCTGGCCATTTAGCACTTTCCATCTATTAACTATTATAGTAAATTAAGAGAATTTTATTATTTTTTCTCATGCTGCACTTAATATTAAATAATTAAATAAAGTAACAATAGTCAAATTTAGAATCCAACTCCCAAGACATTATTAATAAGATTATTTAGTAAATGTCTCTAATAAAAGCGTTTTTAATGGCTAATGGTAGAAAAATCGGTAAGCCTTTCAATATACTTTTCAAAGCACGAATGGAAGTTGCTTTCTTAATAATTTAAATAGATAGTTATGTCAAGTCAACTTGACCAAATAAAATGGAGCAGACCGAGTATTTTTCCAGTTTGAAAAATGAAAACATATTTCCTCTATTCTATACTAATTGAATTTTTTGGAATTTTTTTATTATTCAAAATAATTGAATAGTTCAAAGTTCAAGATAAATATTACTTTAGAATTTTTTTTCATATTTATCCTCTCCTTTAATAAAGTGATATTTTCTAGGAGATAAATTTCATTACTTACAAGTTACAAAGTTATATTTCTGATTTCACGACAATAGTGAAAAATATGATTTGCATTATGTTTTTGAATAATTTTCTTAATAAGTATGCATTGCCTCATAAGTTTGATTAATATGGAATAGCGGGAGTATTTTCCAAAAGATTTTCCAGAGTACTTAATTTATTATATTCAAAGTGATATACAATAATAAATTTGTTATTTTATTTATTATTTTGGATTATGTAATATCAGTACTAAACAAAGTAAAAACAGACCACTGGGAGTAACAATCATCACAGTTTACACTTTCTGATTTTCATTATCTTGTTTATCTTCTACATCTCCATTACCATTAGTTTTTGTTTAGCCACTTACATCTTGATTACTTTTCTCATTTTCAATTATTAGTTTCAATTCATTCAGAACTTTTTGCTGCCTTTATGAGCCCTTTTTAGCTTAATTGCAATTATTTTCACATTTATGCTAATAGTGTTTCGAGTGTGATATATATATAGCTACTTTTCTATATCTTTTATAATTCTAACATTGGAAAAATCTTTTTGGCCAGAAAATTTAGCCAGAATGGTAAAAACTATTTTATTTTATCTTTTTGAACATTTTTACCCTTTTAACTTTAATACCTTTTAATTAAAAAAAAAATCAGTTTATTTTAAAATAAAAAAGATATTATAGACTTTTAAATTTTCTAGCCAAATTCTGACCAAATGTTATGGACATTTAGCATCTTCTACATTTTATCGATCACATGAAAAAATGATTAACATCACTAAGTGTATTAGATCTGATATGGCTCATCATATTCATTTGGCTTAAGATAAGTATTATGATTATGTAAGAGATTTCCACTTGATATGTCTTTCCTTTTTAAGATCTCAATCTTAGACACAGATCTACTAGGCTGAACTTTTTCTTATTAATTATGGCCACGTGATTAGTTACTAATTAACCTCAATTTATGAAAACGTTCTTAGATAGTATATAAGTGGATACACACACTCTAATTATGAATGAACACATCACTTCAGATTGTGACAATGAAGAGGTTAGGAAGATTTTCACAAATAGAAAAAATATTTTGTAAGTGCCCAAATTAATATTATAAATAAATGATTACGTGTTTGAATACAAGTGTTGAAATTGATACTAAATTGTTGATGTGATTAGTAAATATAGTGATGATGATCATTATTAATAAAAAGATAAATGTCAAAAACACATCTAAACTATTTATTTTTTTCATATCTAAACTATCACTTATTAGTTTGAGAAACACTCATCTCTCTATTATAATATTCTCACCATGGTGTGTGTAATACTCTCTCTTTTATTTTAAAAAATTGTCACATTACAGTCCACATGGACAAAACATTTCACCTTCACGAAAATTAAATAAATTACTAGCATTAGTAAAAATTAAAGATTAAAATATTATTATCCCAAAAAATATTTTTTTTTTTATAAAATAAAATGTAAAATATGTTTCTTACCCACCATCACTTCCTCTCGCCCTACACTCCCTCCCCCCCTTTTTGTTTAATTTTTTTTTATAAAAGTATTTACATTTTTTTAGTTTCATCTCCCCCTCAAATACTAATTTAGATATTATTTTATTTTTTTAAAAAAAAATTAATTCTACCCACTCCATCTAGCCTTCCGCTTCCAATTTTTTTTGTTTTATGTTAAATATATACATATGAAAAATATTTTTTACTTGCCGCCGCAAGACTTATTTAAAAATATTTTTTTTATCTCTCACAAATAAGATAATGAACGACTAATATGGAGTAAAGAGGAAGTTAAGGGTCTTGTTTTGGCAAA